TTTCAGCACATGCCATAACCGTCATATACACTTCAGTATGGCTCACTGTGTGCACCAATGTTGGACCCATCCCCTCTTTTATTCATGGGAGCAAGGCTGTCGTAGCTCATTAAAATATTCATCTCAACGGGGGTAGCATCAATCAGACAAGAAAGGAAAACTGCTTTTATTAAAATAACCCCCTCCCCAAATAAATAGTCCTGACAGACCACATAGAAGAAAAATATATTTGAAATATATTTAAAAATTTTTTTTTTTTTTTTTAATATATTCTTCAGATTTTGTTTTACATATTAAAAAGTAATTTTAACATATTTTTACATATATTGGTAAATGCACTTTAAAAATGTAAATTTGTATTTTTAAAGACATACAGTATATTTGAAATGTATTTTTAAAAATATTTTTCATATATTTTGTAATAGAAACGCATTTCAACATGATAGAGAATATATATATTTATATAATTTTTTTATTCCTCTTTATTGAAATATATTGAATATGGCCAAAATGTTAGCATTTCAAATATATGTCAATATATTTGGGAAGAATATTTTTAAAATATATATTTTTTTCCATATGGGAATGTCACCCCAATCCTTTTATTATAATAAACTAGCAAAGCTATCCTTGCAAGTCTAGGAATTGCACAGCATTTCTCGAGAGATATGCAGTCCTGGGTCTTTGGGAAGTCTTGGCGGCAGTGAATTTGATGGAGATAAAACTTTTCTAATCCTAGCTAAAGCTGTCGGTTTTCTCTTTTTCTTTTACACTTAAATTCCTGAGATTATCTTCCCAGGAAGTCGCTGCTACTTTCTGTACTGCACCCTTTCACTTAAGAATTAATAGTTGGAACAAAAAATTTGATGTCAATTTCTGATGCTTATGGATATGTTGCTATTATAGTAATATACAGTCTATAAATTCTATACTACATATTTTTAATACCATTTTATTATTTTATGTTACACTATCCTATCTATGGAAAACAATTCTGTAGATGAAGAAAGCTTTCAGAAATTAGTGATAATAGTTTTTTTTCAATTACAAAAATGGAAAGTAAATGAACAGAAGAGAAATCCAAATCAAATCAATATTTGGCTTGACCACCCTTTGCCTTCAAAACCGCATCAATTCTTCTAGGTACACTTGCACAAAGATAACAAACGGCAGAACTTCTATGAATGTAGGCTGCCTCAAATCCTTCTGTCTCTTCATGTGATCCCAGACAGACTCCATGATATTGAGATCAGGGCTCTGTTGGGGCCAAGTCATCATTTCCAGGACTCCTTGTTATTTTGTTACACTGGTGGTTCCTAAGGAAATTGGCTGTTTTGTTTGGGGTTGTCCTGCAGCAGGCAACCCCATCATGCCTTGATGGTATGGCATGATGGAAAGTATCTTCCTGTATTTCTCAGCATTGAGGACACCATTGATCCTGACCAAATTTCCAACTCTGATTGCAGAAATGCAGTCTCAAACTTGTAAGGATCCTCCACCATGCTTCATTGTTGGCTGCAGCCACTCATTGTACCACTCTCCAGCCCTTCACAAACAAGATGCCTCCTGCTACAGTCAGATATTTCAAGGTTTGATTCAACAGTCTGGATCACCTGCTTCCATTTTTCTGCACCCCTGTTCCTATGTTTTCATTCATAGTTGAGTCGTTTAGCCTAGTTACCTTGTCTGAGGTATGGCTTTTTGGCCACAATTCTTCCATGAAGACCACTTCTGGCCAGACTTCTCGAACAGTAGATGGATGTACTTGGGTCCCACTGGTTTCCACCAGGTCTAAGCTCATGGCACTTCTGGACATCTTCCAGTGTTGAAGGGAAAGAAACATGGTCTGTCTTCTGCTGCATTGTTTCCTTGGCTGACCACTGCATCTACGGTCCTCAGTGTTGCCTGTTTCTTTGTGCTTCTTCAAAAGAGCTTGAACAGCACATCTTGAAACCCCAGTCTGATTGGAAATCTTTACCTGGGAGAGACCTTGCTGATGCAGTATAACTACCTTGTGTCTTGCTGAGGTGCTCAGTTTTGCCATGGTGTATGACCTGTGACATGAAACTGATTTCCACAACCTCACCTTGGTAGCAGAGTTTGGCTGTGCCTCACCCAGTTTTAAGCCTCCTACACAGCTGTTTGTTGTTGACTGTGTTTCAAGCTATGAAATTGATGATCATTAGCAGCTGCTTTGTATAATTGGTTTTTCATACAGTTGACTCTAATTCCACAAAATCCTTGATTTTGAGCAAGTGTAAGAATTGATGCTGGTTTGAGAACAAAGGGTAGTCACACCAAATATAATTTTGATTTAACCCCGATTCACACTGGATACGACTCTGAAAGTGAAGTGGCACGATTTCAAAGACGAATGACAGTGCGACGTCGGTTTTTTTTTCTAGTTTTGAATACTGTATATTAAGGCGGGGAAATATATCTGTTTATGTTATTTTTCTATATTTTCTCTTTTAATTAAAAGTCCACACATTTGTTCCCAACAGTCTGTATTCCAGGGTGATGCGCTTATTGAGATCTCTTATTAGCATTATGCGTGTTTTTTTTTTTTTTGTTACATTTATCCAAATGTTTACATTTGTTGTCTAACTCACATCTGGCTTCTAGAAGTAAGGCATTCATGAACATGAAAGCGTAGTCAGGTGAATACAGCCATGATAATTGGACTACTGAGAGAATTTTTATTTTATCTCTTCTTTTTTTTTTTTTCACTTCCAGCACAAACTTACCAATGCACGGTTGTATACTTTATATAGCAGGCAATGTGATCTATATCCTTTATATACGTAAAGTACTGCAAATCTATTAGGTTTGCTTTTTGGACATCACAATAGGTGTCCTCATTGGAAGATTTTCTACAACTCCTGTTGCAGTGGCAGCTATAAAATCTTGGATTTCCAACTTTTTTGTGTTTCACATAACAAAAACATGACAAAGTTATATCTTCTACTGTAGAAATGTTAAAATAAACGTGGGCTTTAAATTATAATGAAAAAAAAAAGTGATACTTTCTTTTTTTTTACACTCTCTTGTCTATGTGCGTTGTGTTTTTTTTTTTTTTTAGCATCTCTATTGTTATCACAAGGAAAGTAAACCTCCCTTGTGATAACAATAGGCAGTGGCAGGCTCTCTTTACTGAGACATTTGGGGTGTATTAGACCCCAGATGTCTCATCTCCTCTGCCCTAAAGTTTTACTAAACTCGGGACCCTGCATTCAATCTATCTGGTCTCCCACAGTAAGCGGAACATGGAAAGGCTGTTATTTTAGTAAATATAAACTGCTAAATACCTTTTCTCATCAGCAGTTAGAGCAGTCTTGTGACTTCTATAAGCGTCCTGCAGAGCACTAGTTAAAGCTTGGAGGAGGAGTTTTCATTCTTCCCTGATTGTCCCTGTAAGGCTGCATGACCCCTGACCCCTCTGTCTGGAGAGTGCTGATTGGCCCTGTGCTAATCGCATGCACTTTCCAAGGGGAATTTTTTTTTCTAGCAATACACACCAAACTGAGCATGTGCAGTTTGCCCCTAAGGCTGTGTTCTATTAATAGATGGATTGGGGGACAGAAGGGGAGGATCAGAGAAGACAGGATCAAACAGCCTTTTTACACAATGCAGAGGTTTAACCCCTTAGGTTCCACAGTGAGTATAACAAGCACGCTTTACTGCATATACAGACTGATTTTACTGTTGTGGGTTTAGTAACACTTTAAAAGCATCTAATCACACCAAGATCAGATGCTTTACTAATGTAAAAATATCTTTGTTTACATCTGGCAAAACTGGAAGTGACAAAATACTAGTCGCTTCCAGTTTTGTATACCACAGAGATGATTGGAGTGGTTGTATGGTAAGCTGATGGAACCTCCGACTTCATTCCGGGCTCGCCGGTGGCACAGTAGAGCCCAGATAGCTGGTGGGAGGGCGGGGGGGCACCGCACCGCCTGTAACCTGTAAAGGCAATCCAGTGGCTAATTACCTGCTACAATGGCTTTTGCAAAAAAAAGGTGATCACCTCCTAAACAAAAAAAAAAACCGGATGATGCATGTAGGTGTAGTCATCATTCCAGTATAGCTCTTGAAATTGCTGATATACGTGTATGTTAAGTGGTCTTCAATTGTTATATTTGTTTTTCCTTTATTTGTTTTTGTTGGTTTTTTTTTTTCTAAGTTACAATTTTATTTATTTATTTTTTTAATTTTCAAAACCTCATGTACAGGAATATTGGTGATTTCGACCTATTCATGACATACGCTTGTACTTTGTTCTAGTTATTACAATGAAGATAAGAACATCTACCTCACCTTGATATATTCTAATCACCACTCCTTCCTGCCTTGTACATATTATTTGTATTCCTGCACTGGAGAAATATCTTTTGTTGTTTCAAGGCAAGGTTGTTCTGTGACTGGTATGGCTCATAATCTTGAAATATTCCATATGGTCAAAATTGATACAAAGTGTTACTAAACCACAACAGTACAATCAGTCTGTATATGCAGTAAAGCATGCTTGTTATACTCACTGTGGAACCTAAGGGGTTAATCCTCTGCATTGTGTAAAAATGCTGTTTGATCCTGTCTTCTCTGATCCTCCCCTTCTTCCAGTGCCCCCCTTTTTATCTCCTGACAAAACATATCGTGTGGCGTCACTCTGCACATGCTCAGTTTGGTATATATTGCTAGAGAGGTGTTTTTTTTTCTCTTGGTAGAGTGCATGTGATCAGCGCAGGGCCAATCATCATTACCCAGACAGAGGTCAGGGGTTCTGCATCCTCCTAGAGCAGAAAGAAAACTCCTAGAAGCTTTAACAAGTGCTCTGTCGAACACTGATAGAAGTCACAAGACTACTATGTACTGCTGGTGAGAAAGGGATATAGTGAATGCAGGGTCCGGGGAGACCACATATAGTGAATGCAGGGACCGGGGGGACCGGATATAGTGAATGCAGGATCCGGGGAGACCAGATATAGGGAATGCAGGGTCTGGGGAGATCAGATATAGTGAATGCAGGATCCGGGGAGATCAGATATAGTGAATGCAGGGTCCGGGGAGACCAGATATAGTGAATGAAGGGTCCGGGGAGACCACATATAGTGAATGCAGGGTCCAGGGAGACCAGATATAGTGAATGCAGGATCCGGGGAGACCGGATATAGGGAATGCAGGGTCCGGGGAGATCAGATATAGTGAATGCAGGGTCCGGGGAGACCAGATATAGTGAATGCAGGGTCCGGGGAGACCAGATATAGTGAATGAGGATCCGGGGAGACCAGATATAGTGAATGCAGGATCCGGGGAGACCGGATATAGGGAATGCAGGGTCCGGGGAGATCAGATATAGTGAATGCAGGGTCCGGGGAGATCAGATATAGTGAATGCAGGGTCCGGGGGACCAGATATAGCGAATGCAGGGCCCGGGGAGACCAGATATAGTGAATGCAGGGTCCGGGGAGATCAGATATAGTGAATGCAGGGTCCGGGGAGATCAGATATAGTGAATGCAGGGTCCGGGGAGATCAGATATAGTGAATGCAGGGTCCGGGGAGACCAGATATAGTGAATGCCTGGTCCTGGGAGACCAGATATAGTGAATGCAGGGTCCGGGGAGACCAGATATAGTGAATGCAGGGTCCGGGGGGACCAGATATAGTGAATGCAGGGTCCGGGGAGACCAGATATAGTGAATGCAGGGTCCGGGGAGACCAGATATAGTGAATGCAGGGTCCTGGGTTTAGTAACATTTTAACAGAAACAAGCAAACAATCAGGAATACAGTGTTGAAATTGGGAATTGGATCGTATGGAATGCTGTTAAATTATGTTTAGGGATGTATTTTTGAGTAAGAGAACTATTCCTTCTGTAAAACCGCAGGTAACATTTGTTCTGTGTGAAGGGGGCAAAAATGAATAACGTTAGGATATTTTCTCTCTGGGTCAAATGTTGTTCTTGCAATAAAAATCGCGCAGTTTGGTAAAATAATATATTATGACCTCCTAGATGTAGCTGAGCCTAGTAAAGGGAAAAAAAAGTATTTTCTGTGATCATCTGTTCCATCTAGAGGCCATAATGCTGTAATTCTTGATTCATGCTGCACTGTACAGAGCAGGGGCCTCCAAACGTTCTAAAGAAAGGGCCAGTTTACTGTCCTTTTAGACTATAGGGGGGCCAGAATGTAAACAATTCCTGATCTTTGATGTTCGGGGGGAGAAATAGTTTGTGTCAGTGGAGGAATAATGCCCCATTTTTGTTGTCAGGGAGAAGTAATTTTTCCCCATCTTTGGTGTCTTTGGAAGGAATTTTGCCCACTATAATAAAAATATAAAAAGTGAGCGCTCATGTGTCAGCGGCTAAAGCACTAAAGGTAATCGCAGTAAACCTTATAAAATGACCAAGTAAATAAGGTGCAGCGCTAAAGTGAGTAAAATCGTTAAAATATGTTCCAAAATAAATAGTTCATAAATGATAATTATGTTGATCCACTTCTATAGCATAATTCCAGGACAGGTATTAGAGCAGGAACCAATTATAGAATTGCGCACTCACCTGACGCACATGGATAATGCGCATAAAATCAATATCCACCAGAATCTTTATGGTAGGCGGAATGGGTGAGCTTCCATCTATGGATCGTCCTGCCTTGTAGAGTGTATTACTAGGTCCAGAGGTCCCCTTAAGGATGGATAGGTGCTCAGCCTGGATACAGGGCTCCCTCCCTCTGGTGGTAGTGGATCAGACTACAGATGTCCTGCGAGTTAACCCCCCTGGCGGTATTGCTGAGTGTAGCTCGGGGTATAGATTCAGCACTACAAGCGGTAACCCCGAGCTACACTCGGGCTTACCATGCAGCGCTGCTCCAGGATCCCAGTATCACTTACCTTGTCCTGCGCTGCTGCGATGTCCCTCCTGCAGTGTCCCCTGTAATGTCCTCCGGCGGATGCCGGCATCTGTCATCTGGGTTCCGTTCCCTGCGAGCGTCGGGACGTACGGGGGACAGAACTGGCGGGAAATTTGAAGATGACAAAAAGTGACATTCGCTAAATACACTAAAATCACATAGTATAACATTACTGTATCAAACCATTTCACATACATTTTGTCCCGAGTGCTTTGTCCTGTGCCCTGCCTGCATTTTTACTGTTCTTTCTGCCTGGAAACTGAGAAACATCCATGGCGTCCAAAAAGCGTCCCTTTAGGTCAAAAGTGGTTTTAGATCAGCTAGAGAACAGCGATAGTAAATCAGAACCACTTGCAGAATTGAGTGATAATGATTTGTAGGGAAATTCGTCATCAGACACTGAAAACGATTTTGCGACTTTGCTCAGTGATGTGCGAACTTGGCGCTATATTTCAAATTTCAGTGTTTTGGTTTGATTATATTATTGAATTAAATGTATTATTATTATATTATTATTTTTATGATTATTTATTAAATTATAATTTATGATTTCGTGTTTCAAATTTTATCCTACCCGGAATGTTTACTAGACTCTTGTTCAGACAGATTTCAGTGAGTTATTACTAAGAATTACAGGCCTACAATAAAAAAACGCCAAATTTCCATGCAAAAATAATGGTTACCGCTTTCAGCAGCACCAAAAATCTGATATAATCAGACCGCCAGGGAGGTTAATTAGCTCCAAACAGGAGCCAAGAAACAGGTGCACATAGTGTAGTAGGTTTAAATATTTATTGAGTAAAAAATCAGTAAATATAGGGTAGTATAATAAGGCTTCAATATCTGTATTAGTATAGCAGAGTGTGCAGCAGTATACTGACCCCTTAGTTAAAATGGCCGCCGGGCTACCTCGTGTTTCTGGGTGGATATGCTCTGTCAGTTCCTCCTAAGGCCTTTCGTGCCCAAGCACATGATCAGAGGTGATACCAACCAACCAATTTTGCCCACTGTTGGTGTCAGTGGAAGGAAAAGTGTCCCATTGTTGGTGTCAGTGGTAGGAATAGTGCCCCATTGTTGGTGTCAGTGGAAGGAATAGTGCCCCATTGTTGGTGTCAGTGGAAGGAATAGTGCCTCATTGTTGGTGTCAGTGGAAGGAATAGTGCCTCATTGTTGGTGTCAGTGGAAGGAATAGTGCCTCATTGTTGGTGTCAGTGGAAGGAATAGTGCCCCATTGTTGGTGTCAGTGGAAGGAATAGTGCCCCATTGTTGGTGTCAGTGGTAGGAATAGTGCTCCATTGTTGGTGTCAGTGGTAGGAATAGTGCTCCATTGTTGGTGTCAGTGGTAGGAATAGTGCCCCATTGTTGGTGTCAGTGGTAGGAATAGTGCCCCATTGTTGGTGTCAGTGGAAGGAATAGTGCCCCATTGTTGGTGTCAGTGGAAGGAATAGTGCCCCATTGTTGGTGTCAGTGGCTCAAGGACCAGATAAAGGAAAGCAAAGGGCTGCATCCAGCCCTAGGGCTGTATTTTGGCCTGAGCCCTAAACATTTGTTCTTGTGCCCATTCATGCATTTTTACAGAATGAATAGCTGTTGGCATTTCCATGCATCACATACTTACCTGCTCTGTGCAGGGGTTTTGCACAGAGAAGCCCCAGACCTTCTGAGTTCTCCCAATGGCGCTCTCTGCTCCTCTTCTTCTCCGTATGCCACCATAGAAAGTCATTTTGCTATGGTGGCACATACAGTTGTGGCCAAAATTATTCAACCCCCACTGAAATTGAGTGTTTTGGCCAGTTTGACATTGCTTTTGATCATTCAGTCATCTTGCTTACATTTACATTAAAGAGGCACTTGTAGGTCAGACAAATATAACATAACAGTTATAATGAAATAACCACAAATGTCTTTTCTGTGCTCACAGCGCATTATCAGGTGTGACATTCAATCTTAGTACTTTGTACAGCATCCTTTTACAGTTATAACAGCTTTTAAACGTGAAGCATAGCTTGACACAAGTGTCTTGCAGCGATTACGGGTATCTTCGCCCATTCTTCATGGGCAAAGGCCTAGTTCAGTCACATTCTTAGGCTTGCGCACTGCAACTGCTTTCTTTAAGACCAGAGGTTCTCAATCGGATTTAAGTCTGGTGACTGCGATGGTCCAAAATGTTCCAGCCTTTCCTCTGCAACCATGCTCTAGTGGACTTGGAGGTATGCTTGGGATCATTGTCCTGTTGAAAGGTCCAATAGCCTCAGGTGTGTGACGGACTGCATCACGTTTCCATCCAATATCCCTGGTACTGAAGAGAATTCATGGTACCTTGCACACGCTGAAGCTTCCCTGTACCTGCAGAAGCAAAACAGCCCCAAAGCATGATTGACCCTCCACCATGCTTCACAGTAGGCAAGGTGTTCTTTTCATCATAGGCCTTGTTCTTCCTCCTCCAAACATAGCGTTGATCCATGGGCCCAAACAGTTCTAATTTTGTTTCATCAGTCCACAGAACACTATCCCACAACTTTTGTGGTTTGTCCACATGGCTTTTGGCATACTGCAGTCGACTCTTCTTATTCTTTGGAGACAGCAAGGGGGTACGCCTGGGAGTTCTGCACGGAGGCCTTCATTACGCAGTGTGCGTCTTATTGTCTGGGCTGAAACTTCTGTACCCACATCTGACAAATCTTTTCTCAGTTCCTCAGCAGTCACACGGGGACTTCTCTCCACTCTACGCTTCAGGTAGCGCACAGCAGTCGAAGTCAGCATCTTCTTTCTGCCACGACCAGGTAGCGTTTCAACAGTGCCCTTTGCCTTGAATTTGCGAATGATGCTTCCTAAGGTGTCTCTTGGTATGTTTAACATCTTTGCAATCTTCTTATAGCCATTGCCCTTCCTGTGAAGAGAAATCACCTCTTCTCTTGTCTTCCTGGTCCATTCTCTTGCCTTCACCATGTTTGTAACCACACCAGTAAATGTCTAGAAGGTATGAGTATCACAGTCATTTTAAAGCTGCCTAATTGGTGCTTATTATGCTTGATTGCTGCTCGGTGACATCCCAGGTGTTTTCAATACCTGATGGAAAGCTATGAACCTCTGTTCTTCAGAGTGGCTTTAAGGGGTTGAATAATTGTGGCAATGAAGCCACATAAGAACCATTTACTACTGTATTACATAAACAATTGATGTCATTTTAGTTGCATTTGGGTAACAACGTCCTTGTAGGATTTGATTCTGAATACAATTCCAAATGTACCCCCACTATAGTCCCTAAACCCCTTTACAGCATTGGGGGTTGAATAATTTTGGCCACAACTGTATGCGGGCTCGTCCTGAGCTGAGCGGTGTGTCTATAGAACCACACAGCACAGTTTGGCCGTGACCCCCCACACTGGATTTGATTGACAGAACCAGGAGCCAATGGCTCCCACCGCTATCAGTGTACCCTGGGAGACCAGGGAGAAAGAGCAGTGTTGCTGCAGGTGGGCACAGAGCTTGATCAATACAGGACTTTAAATAGGGAGGGAGAGCAACAACTACCAAAAAGGGTTTTTAACCTTGAGGCCCCTTTCACCATGACAGTCTGATCGGGTCCACCTGTCAGCTTTTGAGGCAGACCCGATTGGGCCGTCCATAGCGGTCTATGGAGCGGCGGGTGTCAGCGGACACGTGTCCAATCCGATTCTACACGCTAAAAACAGCCGGATGGTGAGCCCTTCCCTATCTTCCTGGCGGATTGGATCAGATCGGATGACAGTCAGATGGAAATGGACAGGCTGTTCGTTTCCAACCGCCCGCCCCCATAGAAAACAGGAGGGGGTTATGTTGGTGTCCACTCTGCATAGTGGGGCGGACACAGACCTGTCATCCACCTGATCAGCGGAGAGATTCCCCGCTGAGCATCCGGATCCGCTTGCCTGAGTCCGTCCCGTATGAAGGGGGCCTAATACACAGAATGCATTAAGATAAAAAAAACCTTTTGATTTTAGAACCAATTTAAAAGTGTTCCCTCCTCCCCTCCCATCCTAACGCCTATATTACTAACCTGAGTACGAAAGATGTATATACTTTACCTATTTTTATCCTGCTCCGATCACGTGATTGCCCCCCCATGTCAGCTAGTGACCGCTGCATGGGGAAGGAGGGGGTGCCAACGGCCATGGAAGCCCATGGTTGACGTCCTTGCTCCTAGGCATTCCAGCCACTGTTCTCTTCCCTGCAGCTGGCACTGGCTGACACGGGAGATTACATGACCAGACTAGAGCAGAAATAGTGAAGTGTGTGTAATAAAATATAAATATATATATATTCATGCAGGCCATACATGGGTCAAATTCTGAATTAATTTTCTTGATAAAATCTGAAATTTTGTGCATTTTGTAATCTGGTGGTACCACCATTGATTTCAAAATTCGACCAACAAAGCCTTTAATGTTGCTGCAGAAAATAATTTTCGTGGTCAATAATTTTTTCTTTTCTTTCCAGGTCACAGCTGTTGCTCAATTCTTTTTCAATTCCTCTATCATTGATTAGAAATTAGTTTGTTTTTCAAAACATGTCCAACATGCCCGATCACTCAAATTCGATGGTTGCTAGAAAATTGGCCGTTGCTGTGGCCCACTAATGATGCAAAATTCGAATGAAGATTCTTAGAAAAGATTTTCAAAAGAAACTTCTTTCGAAATGCGACCCATGTATGGTCGGCTTTAGTGTGGGTGTTGTACGAGGGAGGAGGGGATGTTTTTAGGCGTAGGTGGGTATAGTCCACAATTCTACTTTGAGCATGCCCCACTTTTACTAAACTGTTGACATTAAAGCTAGAATCCAGGCAGAAAGCTGAAACGGTCATATGTGAACAGCATTATCTGCCGAAATGTTTGTAATTCTATCTGGCCCTCCTTGTGATTCATACACTTCTGCACCAGACGGTAACATCACTGTCTGTCTGGTTTCACTCCTCTTCCTCCCAGTTAACATGTGAAGGGGCAATTAAGCAGTCTATAGATTACGCAATTTTCATTCGTTCTACCACAGGTGGAAGGAAAGCAAGCTACTTGATTGACTGATTGTGTTGATAGGGGAATATCTCCCGCAGAGCTATTGTGTTCTGCTGATGGGGAGCCTTTCTAGCCAGCAGAACACAATGATTACTGCTAGCGACTATAGCCACCGGCAGTGATCTCATGTGAACAATTGAACAGGCTGGTTCTACCCTGAGCAATCGATGGATCAACATTGGTACAGCCAGCCTGCCCATGGATGGATCGAATCCTGGCCAGTCCCCACAGAACTGGCTGAGATTCGATCCACCTATGGCCGCCTTTATAGTTAATGAATATTGTGGTGTTGTCTCCCCAACCACAGCTGGCTGATTGGCTAGTGAAGCAAGGGAGAATGTCACCAGCACACCGAGGATCACCAATATGGGTCCAAACGTTTTTTTAATGAACGATCACATAGTTACAGCAACAGTTTCGGAGGCATCAGACGTTTCGGAGTCTCGCAGGACCTCACATAGTTACAGCAAGGCAACGTTTCATCAGGACCCCTTCATCAGGCATGTGAGGGTGGTCACATGCCTGATGAAGGGGTCCTGCGAGGGACTCCGAAACGTTGCCTTGCTGTAACTATGTGATGGTTTATTAAAACCTTTGGACCCATATTGGTGATCCTCGGTGTGCTGGTGACATTTTTTCCTTGCTGATTTTGTTCGTTCCAGCCGACGGTCACTGCAGCACCCACTCATACACACAGCCATTTTTAACGCAGGAACGTGTGCGTTTGGATCATATACTTACTTGTCTTCATCAGACAAGTCACATTCCTGATGAAGGGGTCCTGAGGGACTCCGAAACGTTGCCTTGCTGTAACTATGTGATCGTTTCATTAAAGCTTATGGACCCATTTGGTGATCCTCGGTGTGCTGGTGACATTCTCCCTTGCTGATCCTGTTCGGTTCCAGCCGACGGTCGCTGCAGCACCCACTTATACACACAGCCATTTTTAATGCAGGAATGTGTGCGTTTGGATTGTACACTTGCATTCTGGCTAGTGAAGCAGTCACATCACTCTGATAGGTCCTAAATGTCACGGGCGCAAGATCGCTGTCACCAACATGCGACAATCTCACAACCGCGACCACCAGTATGTCACGATCGCGGCGTCAGACCCCAGACCTTCTCACCAAACTCGTGACCGGGACCGGCCGATCTAAAACCGCGATGTGATGTGCGTAACAATGCCACACCCAGCTGCACCCTACACAGCGATTTTCCAGCTAGTAAATTTCAATCAGTGCCTGCAGCCTGGATGCGCTTATTACTGGGTCGGGTTATTTACGCAACTAACCCTTCACTGCCCACCACACCTTTTTGTACAGAGAAAGGGGAAACTCTCTTTATCAAATATACACTGTAATGGTTGAAATGTCGTCTGTCTAATACGGTCACCGCAGGCCGATTAGGCAGAGGATTAAACAAACACAGTAGCGTCTCTTTAGAGGCAGGAATTCGTAAATTGCAATTAAGCGCTTTAGAAACAGTTTAACATTTCCAGAAAGAAAGATTTATTACTAAAAGAGTCAAACAGGTACAATAAAATATTTACAGAAAAAGATGTAACTAAGATATATATATATATATATATATATATATATACACACACACACACAAAGAACCATAGCACAGCAAAGAGATATCAGAGAGGAAGTTAAAGGGTTAAGTTACTTGCCAATTAAGCCTTAGCCCTAAGCAGATCCAAGTTTCAGAGCAAAGGGTCTCCCCAGGTGGTATATTGATGTTACAATTGGGAGATGTCTTCAACTTACTTTTTAGGCCTGCTAGCCTGTGTTTTAAAGTCCCCCAGCAGGGGGGTTGCTCTGAGTAACTGACCAATACTCTGTTTAGGGAAGGATCGTCGGGTGGACTCTGAATTAGAACCAACATCTTCATAATCCATGATATGAAACATAGGGGACAAACTGACTTGAGGAATGTTCATTTAATTCTGTCACCTAAGCTGCTAGGTTTTATGAGGTTACAATCTCTTTCAATTCCTGGGAAAAGCTGCCTTATCTCTGTTACGAGGTAAGAGATTACACATGTTCTGGGGCAGCCGGGCTCTGTCTCTCTTGGGGGGCTTTGTAGCTCTGGGCCCCCTGCTGCTCTACCTGCCAGTGACACTTTTAACACACACATGTCACTGTGCCTCTCAGGAAGGGAGGGGGAAGGAGAATGAGAAATGAGAGACACAATATATACTCCGTACCAAGATGGAGGTGCCTACAAAATGGTTGAACTGCGTACTTCACTGTGTTTTGCGCAGTTTTTGCGACACTAAAGTCTGCTCACTCTGCTCTCTTCTACTGTCTGTATGTTCCCTGTCAGCACACATTCATGCAGCTAGTGCTGCCCACCCCTCTCCCCTTGTCTAAGTGCTGCTGTGGGGGTCACTGATATCAAGGCAGGTTTAGGACTTGGGTTAATTGTATATAAAATGCATTCATTTTTAAAGGGAAAAGACAAATGTGTTAATATTTCCCTACATCTGCCTAGAGTTCTGCTTCAATAGATCTATAGAGTTCTGTAATTAGAGCCTTTTGACGGGATTTCATCTTTATGGCTCATTCACACTAGCTCTTTTACCACCCCCATCCGCTCCTCCTTAAGCTGCAGTAGCAGCAGCTGGGAGTGTACATGCGACAGGAATTTATACTCCTTGTGAATGCAAGTACCCCAAAACTGCGTGCAACGCACATGGCTACGGCATGCTAGTGCAGGGTCCTAGGGGTTAAAGCAGATGGTGAAGCAGCAATACAGCAATCACTGCCTGCCGAACACCACTGAAAAGCTATCAAAATGTGGATTGCTTTTCAGAGTAGTGGAAGTCCTTTTTTTTTTTTTTTACTTGCATTGATCCAGCTTGGTTACATGTAATTCAGGGGTGCTCAACCTTTTAAGAGCAAGGGCCAGTTAAGTGATTTGGTAACCAGTCGTGGGCCACAATGAAATGAAATGATTCAGAATTTTTATTTTGACTATCTTTAATGAACATTTTCCTCTTGCAGCTGCTGAATGCCAGCAGAAGGGAGAGAGGAGGAGAAGACAAATTTCAGTGGTTGCAGGAGGAAAATGGAGAGGATCAGTTCCTATATATGCCACTCCTCCTGTCCAAGTGTAAAACAGAATGGGAGCATGGGGCGGGGTCAACTTTTGGGACCCCTGGTGCTACACAAGTGGTTGGGGGGTGGAGGTGGTGTTGGTAAAAACATGTCTCAACTATGGGGTTCTACTGCCCCCCAAACTGCAAATATAAATAAGCCCTTACTGTCCTGAGCCCCCTAAAAGGCTGCTTTCATACTGATACGTTGTGGTTTTCCTGTACCGTAGGTGGGTGAATTGCACCTGCGGGTTAGCTGCACTTTGCTGTAGACTTCTATTCTATCTTGTGGGTGTGGTGCACTATCTGAAAGCACACCAACACTCCTGCATTCAGTTTGAGGTGGAGGGATACATCAGAGGGTTCTGAGGGCCATGGGTTGAGCACCCCTCATCTAATTCTTCATCTCACATGCACAGGGCTGCTGGGGATGCAGGACTTCACTGTAGTCGTCTGTAGTCTACATAGTGAAAGCTCTGATCTCTTTCCTGCTCGAAGGACTGGCCACCTCTAAACTGACCACAGAGGAGTGCTCATGTGGCACCTCCACCATTCAGAGAATGTCTTTTTTTTTTTTTTTTTTTTTCCTGTCCAGTGAACAGAAGGCATTCTTTGATTGGATGAGGTGGATATTGTGACCTCATCCATAGCTATTCTCTACCTCTTCCAATCAGAGAACACCTTGTATTCACTTTAAAAAAAAAAAAAATACAAGATGTTTTCTGAATGGCAGAGATGCTCACAGAGCGCCCCCTGTGATCAGCATATAGAAGATAAATTGTTCAAACAGCACCCAGAAGAGATCAGTGCCAACTGCAGAAAAGTTCTGCTTCCCCAGCTGCCCTTCAGATAAGAGATATGAAGAATTTGAGGTAACAATGCTGGACTTGTGTACAGTTAGGTCCATATATATTTGGACACAGGCACAGTTTGTTTTTTCAGGTATTTACCAAAATATATTCAAGCTATAGTTATATAATGGATATGGGCTGAAAGTGCACACTCTCAGGTTTAATTTGAGGGTATGTACATCCAAATTAGAGGAAGGGTTTAGGAATTACAGCTCTTAAGAGTAGCCATCTCCCCTTTTTCAAGGGACCAAAAGTTTTTGGACAATTGAATCAGAAGCTGTTTCATGGCCATGGATGGGCTACTCCTTTGTTATTTCTTCATCAGTTAAGCAGGTAACAGGTCTGGCGTTGATTCTAAGTGTGGTATTTGCATTTGGAATCTATTGCTGTGAACGTACATAATGCGTTCAAAGGAGCTGTCCATGCACGTGAAACAGGCAATTGTAAGGCTTCAAAAATGGAACAAATCCATCAGAGAGATAGCAGCAACATTAGGAGTGGTCAAATCAACAGTTTGGTACGTTCTGAGGAAAAAAGAACGCACTGGTGAGCACAGCAACGTAAAAAGGCATGGACGTCCATGGAAGACAACAGTGGTGGATGATCACAGGATCCTCTCTATGGTAAAGAAAAACCCATTCACAACATCCAGACAAGTGAAGGACACTCTCCAGGAGGTGGGCGTATCATTGTCAAAGTCTACAAACGAGAAGACTTCACGAGAGCAAATACAGAGGGTTCACCATGAGGTGAAAACTATTCATAAGCCTGAAGAAAAGATGATCCAAAGCACACAACGTCATCTGTAAAACATGGTGGAAGCAGTGTGATGGCATGGGCATGCATGGCTTCCAGTGGCACTGGGTCATTGGTGTTTATTGATAATGTGACAGAAGACAGAAGCAGCCGGATGAATTCTGCAGTGTTTAGAGATATACTGTCGGCCCAGATTCAGCCAAATGCAGCAATGGTGATTGGACGACGTGTCACAGTACAGATGGACAATGGTCTAGAACACACTGCAAAAGCAACCCAGGAGCTTTTGAAGGAAAAGAAGTGGAATATTCTGCAATGGACGAGTCAATCACCTGATCTCAACCCAACTGAGCATGCATTTCACTTGCTGAAGGCAAAACTAAAGGCAGAAAGACCCACAAACAAAGAACAACTAAAGACAGCTGCAGTTAGAGATGGCAAAGCATCAGGAAGGAGGAAACCTAGTCTTTGGTAATGTCCATGGGTTCCAGACTTCAGGCAGTCATTGCCAGTAAATGATTCTCAACAAAATATTAAAAATGAACATTTTATTTATGATTATATTCATTTTGTCCAATTACATTTGAGCCCCTGAAAATAGAGGGACTGTGTATAAAAATGGTTGCAGTTCCTAAACTTTGTGCTTGATATTTATGTTCAACCCTTTGAATTAAAGCTGAAAGTC